TGAAGTGATGGCTGCGAATTGCTGTTATCAAAATATTTGCAATGACACACGTATTTAAATAAATTGCCATAATAAATGGCTAGAAGCTTTCATGAAAGAACATGCCTATTAAAGCAAAGACATACAAATGGAGCTATTAGTCTAATGGATTCAATGTTGCACTTGAAGCAATTATTTAAATACATATCATTTAACCTGTATCACAAGCCTTACGGAAAACAGAAGCTACCAGTTATCAAAGGATACATTTGTCACAGTAGAAGTGCCCACAACTGTGGTAATTATTTAATCTTTACAGCATATCAGGTCAGATGTAATATGCCAACTGGTCAGCTTCTTAGAAAAGGTCCATTTACATTGCCCCAGCAACATGCTGAATCTCAACTCAGAAGGCTGTTCCTTGGCAGTGTCAAGCAGCTTTTTCCACCAGCTATCATTATCCTTGAGTGAGATTCTAACTAGTTCACAACTGTGGGCAGTTTATGCTGTGTGGAGCTCGTCAAAACTAATTTTGTGTAAGGACAAGAAGTGTTTTTTTTTAATCTCAGCTATTATCTCCCCTGCACTCCTGACAGGGACTGACACCTTTCTGCTCAGTTCTGAATTAGCAACTATTCCATATGAACCTTGGCAGCAAACGGCCAGTAGGCAATTTGATTGCAAAGTGAATCATGGTTGATTCCTAAACTGCCCTCACCTATAATTTTAACCACCTTGGTCAGCACGGTCCCAGCTACTCACCGCATAAACTTACTGGACTATCAGCAAGGGTTGGTGTGGGACACAGTTAGAGAGCGGAGATACTCATATCATTATCCTACGATTGATTTAAACCGAGGTGTAGGAGACTAAGGAATGCATTAATCTACAGTTTCACAATACTCCTTGAAAGCAATATTTGAATCTCTCATTATGGCCAGTGAATTCGGCAAGTGTATATCTGAGCCATAAAGTTTGGGAAGTAGGAAGGTTTGATTCTCAGGCTGAGTCAAATTAGCTAAACGCAGCTATAGCAAGGATTGGAGTGCTAGCATTGGCCTCAGCAGCTTGATGGTAAGCAGGTATAAATACATTAGGCTTCCTGCTGCTGATGCCTGACTACTTGATGGGTTTTCATTGCATATGTTCCATTAATCCGTGAAAAGAAGAGGAAATCCGTCATACAAAAGATTAAGCAAGTTTGTGGAATCTAGGGTGGCTGACAAAACTGTTTTCTGGTCAACATACAGTGACTTCCCCGTAAAATGTGGGTGTGGAAATGTCAGCTGAGGACAACATCTGGGCTCAAGTATCCTCTGTGCTGATTTAACCATATGAAAGTTATATGAACAATGATCCTCTGGGTGAAATGTTGGAGAATAAATGTCCAAGTAATTCAACAAGAAACTGATGGCTTCTGAAAAGGAGATGAAAACAGAAATCAGCACGAATAAACGTACGAATATTATCAGGAAATGTTCGGGTAAAATTCTGGTGTTTCTCTTCCCAGATTCTAGATTGAGAGAATTATGAATGGAGGTTAGTGTATCTGATTTTCACGCCTCCCTATTTCCAGGTTATCAATTCTAATAGCCAGAAAAACAAGATGAAAATTGACCATAGTGGTTCAACCAACATTAAAATAGTTACAATAGATAGAAATGCATTCAAATAGGATCAATATCAACATTCTAAAGAAAATAAAATCCGACAAAAACATATAATTTTCAATGGTATGGTACATAATATTCAAAACAATGCCATAATTCTCATTATCTCAGTATGGCCTTCTCCGTATACCATGTATGAGAGTGGCTGCAAGTTGGTCGTTAGTTTAGATAAAGCTGTGCAATCTGATGTCTCTTAGAATGTACACTATGACCTTATATGTGCTTGTGCACAATTACTCAGATCTGATTTGCTTGCTGAGTGTTAATATAAACCTTAGCCTTAATGATATTATACAAAACTCAACAGCAAGTACAGCTTCCATTCTCAACCAACTAGCGTGAAACGCTAAATAAATATTCCCAAAGGGACCATTACTAACAAAAATGAAGTGGTGCATTTTGAGGCAAAGCAGCAGCTGAAAAAGCTGCCTACTGTCATTCTGGTTTTTACATCAGTGATGTTGAAAGGATCATGGGAGAGGAATATTTTGATACTTCTGGATCTTTCTAATGGGAACAACGACTGAGATATTATGCAATTCTCTTCAATTTCAACATGAAAAATTCAGAATTGTCTATGCTCAAAGGCTCCTTGTGGTGGATAAAGTAATGAATAAATACACGGATCGGAGGAGCGAATTTATTGATATATTCAATTTGTTTTTAAGATCTTGCAGTTGTTACCACCTTAACAGGAATATCCTTCTATATCACTTAGAAACATAGAAACACTGAAAATAGTAGCAGGAGGAGACCATTCAGCCCTTCGAGCCTGCTCCACCATTCATCATGATCATGGCTGATCGTCCAACTCAATAGCCTAATCCTACTTTCTTCCCATAACTTTTGATCTCATTCACCCCAAATGATACATCTAGCTGCATCTTTGATATATTGAATGTTTTGGCATCAATTACTTCCTGTGGTAATGACTTCCACAGGCTCACCACACTTTGGGTGAAGAAATATCTCCTCATCTCCGTCGTAAATGGTCTACCATGAATCCTCAGACTGTGACCCCTGGTTCAAGTCACATCCACCATCGGGAAAATCCTCCCAGCATCTAACCTGTCTAGTCCTGTTAGAACTTTATAAGTGTCTATAAGATCCCCCCTCATTCGTTTGAATTCCAGTGAAAACAATCCTAACCTAGTCAATCTCTCCTTATCTGTCAGTCCAGCCATCCCTTGACAGAGTTACTGAAATACTCCACAAACATGGCACAGAACCCATTTCATTTTTGCCCTTTTAGAGTTGGGAAAGATCAGTAAGTGATTTCTAAAGTTATCTGTAGCTCTCAAACCAGCACACGTCAGAACTGATGAGAGTTAAATGTATCTAGACATCATCTAGGTCTACAACTCAGAGAATAGCCTGGTAGAAATTAGTTCTTTCAGGGCAGCCAATTTCAAGAAACATGCAACTTCAAAAAGGCACACCAGATGTGAGCTAATGAAAATTCATCTTCACCTGCCACTGAGGCGAAAAGATATCCAAGAACATTTGATAGTTTTATATTTTTTCAGACAATGAAAGACTGTTGAAAGTAAGTACAATATCTAAGAATACTATGTGGTTACCAGGTAACATTGCTTCAGTCAGTAAAGTTTTAAAACTTTTGTGAGGTAATTTCCATTAAAGTTGAATTTAAATGAAGATTAGGTGATGTAAAATTGGCTGTTGGCTCATTATTATCTGGATTACAGTATTGCACAAGGTCAAAATGATCCCCATCAGTATTTTGAGGAAACACTTTCCTGCACTTCTGGAAATTTTTATGGGGTTTAAAAAATGCAAAGTAATGAATGTGTTCAGGCCAGAGGCAAATTTAACTAACTGTTAAAGCCAAGACTTAGAGACCTGTTAAATAAAAATATACATTGTAATTGAAATTCCTGGAAACTAGCAACTAACTTACAAAATCTTGTGCCTGCCTGTTAAAAAAAATTGATCATGAAATATCTGTTTTACAATTTAAGATGGCCAAATGTCACTGTTGGGAGGAAATTCACTTGGAGAAATAACATGGGGACAGTGAACAAAATATCATAAAGTAGACAATGGCATAGTGAGATGAAATGACGTGCTGTTCAAACAGTCTGTATTCAAGCCATTCCCCATGATACATTCAGGCTAGATACAAAATATGTAGCAAGATTGGGAAGCTAGTCAATAAATTATCTCAGCTGTATAAATCCAACCCAATTATAAATGTGGGAGGCTTCTCTTAAACTAGGTTAAATGCTACTTTCTCCGAAAGTGTGGATCTAATGAAGCCTCTGACAATCTCAAAGGAAAGCTCCTGGATTCCTTCAGAGCTGAGAATTTGCTTAACCGAGAAACAGTAGAAAATGGACCTCCCTGGCAGCTGCCCTTACTTACATCTAATATTTACCTTGAATTTGTAATTGAATGCAGAAGACCTTTGAGTCAGGAATTCAGGAATCTATCAACACATGTCTGATAAAATATAATATATGGAATATGATATACAAGTCTCATCTCTTTCATGACTTTGGAAGTGATGCTGAATAAAATGTAAGTGCTGGTTTAAAACAGGTGTACGTTTCCTGCAGGATTTCTACACAGAGGACAATAGAAGCAGATTGATGCTCTAACAGGTAAGTTTACAGAGTTGGGGTGTTCTTCAATCAAATCTATCCAGTGACTTCGTGATACTTTCCATATGGTTGACATCAAGACCAAACAACATATAGATGTCAATTGATGAAAGTGCTTTCCCTCTTTTACAAGGGAAATAGAAAAGTTACCACCCTAATATTTAGCTACATTACTGAAAGGGGGATCCATTTAACCTCCTTAACAGTAAAATCCATTAGACTAATTTGCCAGTGTGAGACTTGTCAATATTAATGTGAGAGAAATGAGCATGAGAAAACATGAAATGAAGGAGATGACTTACTCATTTAGCACTGCTGATTAGAATGAATTATTTTAAGACAGTGTACAACTACGCTGGTATACCACAGGGTTATTCTCTCTGAGTGAAATATCAACTTTGGTATCCACATTACATATACAACAAGCTGGAAATAGCACAGTGATATAATCTCTTGTGAGAAGTAGGCACACAAGTTTGCTCCTAATACTCACTATCTGCAGAGAAACACCATAAAAAGTAATACAAAAATTGAAACATCAACTCATGGAACACAATTTCTATTCTGGAGAGTACATATAACAGAGAAGGGGCAGATGGGATCAGCACGGAAATTAATGTCAACACTTAACACCATGCAGGACACCGGGTCTCCAAATGCTACTTATCCCTCTCAAGAAAACATTCATTGAGTTATTTTCTCAGCATGCCTTGCAAGGGTAGATACTTACATCAAACATATTTTCTATATACATTTCCTCATTGACCTTATCCCGAAGTATGTCCTGGTTCTGCCGTACAAATGTGATGTAGGTGTCTGCTAGGTCCATTCCAGGTTGCTAGAATTAAATAGATGAAAAGAAATGTCTCATCAACGTGATTTTTCTTGATAGACTTGCATTTGTTCCTAATTCCCCTACGTTTTGATTTGATTTCATTTATTATTGTCACATGTACCAAGATACAGTGAAAAGTATTGTTTTGCATGCAATACAGACAAATCATACCATACATATGTATATCAGGGTAACAGAGCAGAGTGCAGAATGTGGTGTTACAGCCACAGAGACGATGCAGAGAAAGATCAACTCTAAAATATGAGAGGTTGTTCAAAAGTCTGATAGCAGCAGGGAAGAGTTATGAGTTTTCAAACTTTTGTATCTTCTACCTGATGGAAGAAGATGGGAGAGAGTTGGGAAGAGTCTTGAATTATGTTGGCTGTTTTCCAGAGGCAGCAGATGGGGAAAATTATATTCACTTCTATTTCCATCATCCATACAGTAGGTCCAGACCATAGATTTCTCCATGATCACCAGGCCCATGCAACAAGCAATGAATCAGACATAAATTTGAGATATCAAGAGCATGATTTTCTTGTTCGTCTTAAGGTATAGTCTGCTGTGACAATATGTTTCACCCAATGCATTTGGTGAAAATTAAAGAATGGCTACCAATGGGAAGGGAATATGGTTGAATGGTGACTTTAGGAATCAAACATGCGGAGGTCTAAAGAGTAGGAGCATCACATATCATGGTAATGCTGATCAGAAACTACGAAAGGAAATTGCAATCACAAAATTGTATGGCTGACTGTCCAGTTGGTTTATGGCCAGCATGGCATGACACATAAAGGGAGTGCTTGTTGGGATTTCCCTAGCCTTGCAGTCTTTGATTTTTCAACTGTTTAAAACAATGGTTGGAAATTTTATGCTTTTTCTCAACGTTCCTGGTTTACTTTTAGATATCAATTCCCCAAGACAGTTTTAAAAATAGAATTTACTCAATGTTCTTTATTTTAAAAAAAACTACAAAAAATACTGCAAAAATCTTACCCAGGCAATACTTACAATTGCCACTGAGCATGTTTATGTGGACTTGACCAAGGATCAGACCAAAACAGGTAATCAGTCTGCTCTATCCCCAAACTCCAGCTGATGATCAGACAACATGCTGAACTAGCTAACTGTGCTCTGAAGTAAACTTTCCTTCTATCCTTCATCCATACAAACAGGCTATGCTTACAAACTTTTGCCCAGTCCTGTCTCCAGAAAAGGATGGTTTTAACCTGCTGAACATTCCACAACTGTCAGCTACCATGGTCAGTTAAATTAATCACTCATTAAGCCTTATTTGTGTCTCCTTAGAAAGAGGCTTGTCTCTTGGACTTAACTTTCACCTCAGTTTTAGCTTGATTAGACTGTTCACCACTTTTATGTCATTTAATCAACACTGTGATATATATACACCACAATTCTATGACAATCATAAATTTAGCTGATCATAAGTCCACAATATCACATCTGATTCATTGTATCGGTTTTTAAACAATTTTCAGTGTTTCCAGAGTTACTGTGACAATTAGTCATTACTGCTGAGTACTTAATATAAACATACCTTCCTTCAGCAACACACAGTAACACATTAAAACCAGTTGCTTTTTTAATCATTTCATTTATTACATTTAATTCATTTATTACAGTTCATTTATTACATTTAATAACATTTTGGCTAACCCAGCAAATTTTAGTTTAATGTCTATAAAGCTTAGCAGAGGAAGACACCCTTTAATTGTTCTTGCTAATACAAAATTGCGAACAGGAAAGTTCTTAGAACCTTCCACACAGGATTACTCCACCTCTCAAGTTATTAATATGAAAATAAGTTCTCAAGTTTCCTTTTCCTATTGTTCTATGATGCGGATATACATTGCTATGATGGACATGAGTAAAATAGTGTCAGTGTAAAACACAACACGTACAGCAACTTTACCACTCATTATCATTATAGTTTTAATTAATTAAAACAAATTGCTAGAGAAACTCAGGAGGTCTGGCAGCAGACCTGATGTTTTGAGTTCAGTGACCCTTCTTCAGAACAGGTAACATAAACAGATGCTGCCAGATCTGCTGAGCTTTTCCAGCAATTTCTGTTTTTGTTTGTTTCAGATCTCCAACATCCACAGTTTTTTTTTTAAATTTTAGCTTTCTTTAACTGATGCCCTAATTCTTGTCTCACAAAATATCTAAATTTATAACATAAACAACTACAGACACTGAAGAGAATAAGAAACATTTCTCATAGATAGATAGATAGAATCCTTATAGTGTGGAAACAGGCCCTTCGGCCCAACAAGTCCACACCGAACCTTGGAGCATCCCACCCAGACCCATCCCCCTATAACCCACCCAATCTACACCTCCCTGAACACTATGGGCAATTTAGCATGGCCAATCCACCTAACCTGCACATCTTTGGACTGTGGGAGGAAACCGGAGCACCCGGAAGAAACCCACGCAGACACGGGGAGAATGTGCAAACTCCACACAGACAGTCACCTGAGGGTGGAATTGCACCCGGGTCCCTGGCGCTGTGAGGCAACAGTGCTAACCACTGTGCCACCATGCCGCCTCAATATTTCTGATATTGGAAAATGTTGCCAGTCATCTAGCATTCATGGTAAACAGTTGGAAAAGAAACAGAAAACTTACATATATACATGGCAACTTACATATATACATGGCACCTTATCACCCCCTTGGGGTGTCCCCACCTGCTTCATAGTCAATAACCCATATTTTTACATGTAGTTTAAACACAATTGCCTTTGCTGCACTCTGCATGGGTACTGTTTCAAGCTAAGTGTTGGATCACAGTTACATCCATTTATGTAGCACCAGGGACCCAGGTTCAATTCCACCCTCGGGCAACTGTGTGTGGAGTTTGCATGTTGTCCTGTGTCTACTGGGTTTCCTCTAGGTGCTCTGGTTTCCTCCCACAGTCCAAAGATGTGCAGTTTAGGTGGATTGGCCATACTAAATTACCCTTAGTGTCCAGGGATCTGCAGGGTAGGTGGATTAGCCATGGGAAATGCAGGGTTGAGGGATAGCGTAGGTATGGGGTCTCGATGGGATGCTCTTCGGAGGGTCGGTGTGTGTGTACTCGATGGGCTGAATAGTCTACTTCCATGCTGTAGGAATTCTACGATTCTAATTCTGCATACAGAGGGAGTCTGTGTAGCATTGAATGTGAAACCAAACAATTCCTAATGGATGATACAATGAGTAAGTTGCTATGTAGTGCTGCCACCGATGATTTCATTGCCGTGGTCTCTGATGGTGGGAGGGGTGGACCGAACACCCTTTCTCTAATAAACACTGAAAAGGGGCCACATTTATTGAATTGCATGACAGGTAAGTGACAGAGATGCACCCACAATGTTACTTATGCACACAGCCTGAAGCAAATCTCATGGTCTCTGCAAATTTTGGCAGGTTTAATGCTGGAGGGCAGCAGTGAGCACAATTAAAGTAGTTATGTTGGGATCACAACCCTAATGGTTTTCATAATGTTCAGCCTGCAGGAGTAGTAAATTCACACCAGCAGCAGGCTCAGATTGAATAGACAAGCCAACAAAACAAGAAATCAAAAACAAAGCCAAAAAAGAATGACACATTTAAAACACATTGCATTGAGTTCACTGGGATGAATTCAAGAAATTGTTGAAATGAGGAGGTAAGGATCAGAGAAGCAGAGGGAAAGCAAGTAAGAAAAACAGGACAATAAGCCCTAGGCTTTCACCTCAAAGAATACCTCTTGCGTGAAAATGATGGATGTGTATGAAAATTATCTGTTTTATTGCCCATTTAAACCCTAACCACTCAGAAACTAGGACACTTTCAAATTTTTAAAGTGGGCTGAAGTTTGACACTTCTACCATCATTTGCTAAATTTCATCCCAAATTGATTGACAGACTTGCTGTGTTTTTTTTAAACTAAATTCAAGACAGCACTCTCCTCACTGCTCATCCACCTGTCACAGACAAGGAGACATATGGGCATTTCACACCTTGAGAATAGATTTTGTCATGCAGTCTGCAGTCTTGAGACAGTAACTAATTATTACTAGAACATACACAACTTGGATGGATTCACAGCAGCAGCTGCTGACATTTACCAATTAGAATTACAGTTCCTTAAAACAATTTATTCTATATTGTAACTAGCACAGAGTAATTATTTATAATGAATGGCTATACGATACATCCCTTATTAGTGCACATCTTGAAAAACTGTCAAGTTCTCTAGTTTGTCAGCAGGTACTGAGGTACTAAGGAAGGAAGCAAACAATTCTTTCATTATTAACACCATTAAACTTCATAGCTCAGCTCATCAGATTGTACAGGTCACCTTTTATACTAAAGTAAAATGAAGAGGAAACAAATTGCTTTCTCACACTGAGTTAGCACTTATTAAAAAAATACAAACAACTCGAACTTTGATCTCAGATCTATCATCTTATTTTTCATGCACTAATGTGTGAATGTCCATGGGAACAATCAGTATGAATGTTTTTACCAAAGGCAATCAAAATGATGTTCAGAATCTGAAATGTAACGAGGCATGGGTAGCAGCATGAAGAGGGGGTTTTAAATTAGTTAGGATTTCTCTGCAAAGTATTGATGACACAAAGACCTCAATGACAGATATTGCTGGTTAGTTTTTGAGAGGCTGCCTTTCCTGTTTTCTAGATCTGCTTCCCCCTCCCAGCACTCAATAAGCGTGATTCTAATTCTTTGCCTGTAAAGTCATTCTGTCCAAACCAATAAATTGACTCAATGAGTTGAGAAGTGAACAGTACCAGTAGTGAAACAGTACAATAAAAGCAAGGTCTGGGGTGAGTAGAGAGACGAATGAAACCAAGTGTCTAGCCACATTTCAGACCAGTGTTAGGGAAGTGAGCTGGAGTCACAGTGAAAGTCCAACTAATGCCAGATTGTAACTTTATATCATCATAATTTCCCAACAATAGTGTAATTATAATGTGAGCTATGGCTCTGCT